GGGTATACCCTATGAAAAAGGCACGATCGTTCGGTTTTCGTATAATGTGTACACAAGTTTCAACACCCAATTCAGACTTTCCAAACTAAAAGGGACAAACTCCAGAATTTTTCTTGTACAAGAACAGAAGTAATGATTTTTGTTTATCCACTTGCCAACCGCGCTATAGCCGAATGACAGCTACATCGCCGTTGTCCAGTTCTGGGAGGGTGTCATATGAGGCCCTCTCAGAACGTGCCCTCCCGCAAGCCCCTGGGGGCGCACACCGGCAATCTCTGTGGTCGCTGTGTCCTACGGACACAGCTGATCATGTGATGTGGTAAAAGGCCAATCACAGTGGCATTTTACCACATGATCAGCTGTGTCCAATGACACAGCAGATCACCAGTAAATGCAGTTGCCGGTTATCGGCTGCACTTTCCTCACACTGTCACAGCGTGAGGAAAGTACTGCCGATAACCGGCAATTGTCAGAGGACAGATCGGCACCGATCATCAGGGCACTGATGATCAGCGCCCTGATGATTGGTGCCCAGCAATGCCACCCACCATAAGATCAAACTACGCAAATCCCAAATCAACTAAAGTCACAAAGCTGCACGTATATAAGAGGATATCGTCTCTTAGAAGGTTAATTCAAATGGATACTGCGCTAGGTGAACCCTTAAAACTTTATGAGTACTATGGAAACCTTCACATCTCTGTAAAATGATCAAAATTGAAAATAAAACACTGTAATAGCAGTGAGCGCTAATCCTGAAAGCGGCTAGGCACTCTAAGCAACCAATAACACTTAAAAGCAGTAACATAAAATAGTGCAGCGCTGAAAATAATGACAAAATGACAAAAAAGTAGTCCACTAAAAGTCTATGACATATAAACGTATCCAGTGTCAGATGTGGATTCAGAATAGGTGATCCGTGTGGAAATGGCTGGAAAACGCACTCACCAGAAGTAAGACACATAAACGCAGTGTGTATATAAAACTCAAGGATCTTCAATCCAGAGGGAAGTAAAGCTGATCCGGTTACAGGAATGGTGAATCCCTCCTCCGCAGGTGCAGCAACCGATCTTCCTTAACACGATTAGATGTAGAATTCCAAGGCCAAGGTTCTGCAAGCAAAAGCTCCTCAAGGGAGTTTTAGGGAAGGACACCCATAGTGAAGTAGGTAATAAAAGGCAGCTTTATTCACAATAATGATATCCAATTCAAAGCAGGCAGGTATCATACAGATGTGTCAGCAAGACAACTAACCCTGATACTTTGAATAGTGGCCGCCGGGCCTCCACGTGGCACCGGCGGCGTAGCGTCTCGACGTCCAGGCTCCTCCTAAGGATGTCCTTCCCTAAAACTCCCTTGAGGAGCTTTTGCTTGCAGAACCTTGGCCTTGGAATTCTACATCTAATCGTGTTAAGGAAGATCGGTTGCTGCACCTGCGGAGGAGGGATTCACCATTCCTGTAACCGGATCAGCTTTACTTCCCTCTGGATTGAAGATCCTTGAGTTTTATATACACACTGCGTTTATGTGTCTTACTTCTGGTGAGTGCGTTTTCCAGCCATTTCCACACGGATCACCTATTCTGAATCCACATCTGACACTGGATACGTTTATATGTCATTGACTTTTAGTGGACTACTTTTTTGTCATTTTGTCATTATTTTCAGCGCTGCACTATTTTATGTTAAAACACTGTAATAGTTAAACTAAATAAGTGCATATATATATGCCCTATGAAGGCCCTCACCTCTCTAAACGGTGATCAAAATTTGCAAAAAAAATTTTGATTGAATAAACGGAGTACAATATTCATAAATACGTCTAAGAAACCGTGATGTGTGGTCAAATTAACGTAAATATCATACATTATCTATGAGCCCTATGAACACCCTCACAGCTCTGAAGAGTGATCGAGTTGAAGATAGGTCAAATCTTAATGTTCAATAAAAATAAAAATTCAGTGTTTTATTTTAAATTTTTGATCATTTTTCAGAGGTGTGAAGGTTTCCATAGTGCTCATAAAGTTGTAAGGGATCACCTAGTGCAGTGGTCGGCAAGCCGCGGCTCGCGAGCTACATGCGGCTCTTTACAAACTTCAATGCGGCTCTTCTGTGTGCCGGGCGCCCGCTCCCCTCCCTCCTCTCGGGCGGCCGCCCCCTCCCCTCCCTCCTCTCGGGCGGCCGCCCCCCTCCCTCCTCTCGGGCGGCCGCCCCAAAAGTCAGGACTCTGCAGCTGTCAGGATGTAGGCGGGGCAGCCAGGATGTAGGCGGGGCAGCGTGACGAACTCCTCTCCTCTCACAGTCCGCCCTGAAGACCAGAACGGCGCGGTAACACGGCGAGAGGAACGCGCAGCAAAGGTAAGTGAATTGACACAGGGGGGACTTACTATATGGGGGACTTACTATATGGGGGATGAATTACTATGGGGGATGAATTACTATATGGGGGATGAATTACTATATGGGGGATGAATTACTATGGGGGATGAATTACTATATGGGGGATGAATTACTATGGGGGATGAATTACTATGGGGGATGAATTACTATATGGGGGATGAATTACTATGGGGGATGAATTACTATATGGGGGATGAATTACTATGGGGGATGAATTACTATATGGGGGATGAATTACTATATGGGGGATGAATTACTATGGGGGATGAATTACTATATGGGGGATGAATTACTCTATGGGGGATGAATTACTATGGGGGATGAATTACTATAGGGGGGATGAATTACTATAGGGGGGATGAATTACTATGGGGGATGAATTCTATGGGGGATGAATTACTATATGGGGGATGAATTACTATATGGGGGATGAATTACTATGGGGGATGAATTACTATATGGGGGATGAATTACTATGGGGGATGAATTACTATATGGGGGATGAATTACTATGGGGGATGAATTACTATATGGGAGATGTATTTTCAGTTTTAAAAATGTGGCTCTCAAAATAAATTTCAATTGTGGTTTTGGCGAGATTTGGCTCAGTTGAAAAAAAAGGTTGCCCACCACTGACCTAGTGCAGTATCCATTTGAAGAAGATATATCATACTGTGCTATGCTTTATCATTATAATGCTGTAAGTTCATGATTTTATTTTTGTATGAAACTAATTGAAGGAGAATGGTCTCTCTAAGTATGAAGAGGATATGTATAGAGCCATCTAATATTGTTGAGTTGGCTTTGATGGAGAAGCTCTGCCTGGAAACGCATTAGCCAGTATATTAGAGGCTGATCTTGAATGATCACCAATGGATGGATGAGTGCTTTCTGTGGTCAATGAGATGTTCCTTATGGACAATACGTGAGAAGCGTGTCTTTACATCACTTTTGTGAGTACAATATATTTTTTTGTAATATTTTAATAAATCTTACACTATGCCGATGCAGAGTTGGAAGCGTCTTTACAGTTTTCCTGAGGATTCCCTGGTCTGGAGAGAGCTGCAAGAACGTGGATGTTTTTTCTACTACATAATGTTGAAGAAAGAGACTGTGTTCCAATAATTAGAGCTTTGGCAGACACAGATTTGTAGATTCCATTGCTGTTGAGTGCTGACAGTAGCTCATTATTTATGATTACAGAGTATGTAATCGTGTCTAGTGTAACCAAGGTGCAGATAATATTTCATTGTCATGTGACTGGTGACTTTCTATGGTGACATTAAAAGCAAGATAAAAAAAAAAAAAAAAATAGTAACCCTTACCTGCTCTGTCTAATGATAATACATAGAAACGTTGCATTCCTCTATTTTTAGCAGTTCCTGCCAGCACTATAGGCTCCTCCCCCTTCACGCATTCTTTCTCTTCTAACAGTCCCTGCCAGCACTGTAGGCTCCTCCCCTCCTTCAAGTGCCCCCTGTAGCAAGCAGGGTGCCAAAGAGACACCCATGCGTGCGTCCTCCTGTTGGGTCCTGTGCCAAGCTGTGTACATACATAGACACACACAGCAGCAGTAAGACATGTCCCCATTCCCTTCTCACAGGAGTTTGACAGACAGCAGCAGGAGCCTATTGTTCCTGTGTAAGCAAGAAGTGAGGGGAGTGACACTGGAGCTGAGTAGGTAATTAGGGATGGGAGGGTTGGAAAGGTAGTGGGGAGCTTTTTAATAATTAGTACTATTTTAAAGTGACAGTAAAGTCCACATTTATGTCTGCCTAAAAACAGCATTTCCCCCCCTCCTCCTACCTATGCTGTATACCAGCCTTTCTCAACCAGGGTGCCCAAGCACCCCGGGTGCCTTGAGGTTTCATCAGGGGTGCCTTGGCAAAATGTCTAAAAATTGCCCAAACCTTGTATACAGGTCAGCGGGTGGAACAAGCCTGCCTTTTAGTTACACAACTGCACAGGTTTTCATTGTGTACCATTACAACCTTCTAGTCAGTGTCCTGACAACCAATGACATCATCAGTTGATAGGGAGGATGTAAGCTGCCTGCACAGCATCCTAGTTTGCCCCTCCCTTGCCCCTCTCCATCAGTGCTGGAGTCACATTAGCTCAGTGATGGAGAACAACTGAAGAATAAGAGAAACTAGAATACTAGTCAGTACCAGTGTGCAAAATTGGATTTGCTTTGGAAGAATAAATCACCTCCATCGTTGGGTGTTCCACATGTGTGGATGTTGCGGCGTTACATAAAATTATTAGAATAGTTATACACATTTTAGAAAAGGGTGCCTCAAGACTGTCCATAGTTTTAAAGGGTGCCTCAAGATTGTCCATAATTTTAAAGGGTTCCTCAAGACTGTACATAATTTTAAATGGTGCCTCAAGACTGTCCATAGTTTTATAGGGGGCCTCAAGACTGTCCATAGTTTTATAGGGGGCCTCAAGACTGTCCATAGTTTTATAGGGGGCCTCAAGACTGTCCATAGTTTTATAGGGGGCCTCAAGACTGTCCAGAGTTTTATAGGGGGCCTAAAGACTGTCCATAGTTTTATAGGGGGCCTCAAGACTGTCCATAGTTTTAAAGAGTGCCTCAAGACTGTTCATAGTTTTACAGGGGGCCTCAAGACTGTCCATAGCTTTATAGGGGGCCTCAAGACTGTCCATAGTTTTACAGGGGGCCTCAATATTGTTCATAGTTTTACAAGGGGCCTTGAGACTGTCCATTGTTTTAAAGGGTGCCTCGAGACTGTCCATAGTTTTACAGGGGGCCTCAAGGGGGCCATAGTTTTAAGCTCCCTAGCGGTCTGATTATGTCCATATTTCTGTGCTCAAAGCGGTAAATTTTTTTGCATGGAAATATGTATTTTTTTTATTGTAGGCCTGTAATTCTTAGGAATAACTCACTGAAATCTGTCCGAACAAGAGTCTAGTAAACATCCCAGGTAGGATAAAACTTGAAACACGAAATCATAAATTATAATTTAATAAATAATCATAAAAAATAATAATAATAAATTTAATTCAATAATGTAATCAAACCAAAAACACTGAAATTTGAAATACAGAGGCAAATTCGCACATCGCTGAGCAAAGTCGCAAAATTGTTTTCAGTGTCTGATGACGAATTTCCCCACAAATCATCACTCAGTTCTGCAAGTAGTTCTGATTTACTATCGCTGTTCTCTAGCTGGTCTAAAACCGCTTTTGACCTAAAGGGACGCTTTTTGTACACCATGGACGTTTCTCAGTTTCCAGGCAGAAAGAACAGTAAAAATGCAGGCAGGGCACAGGACAAAGCACTCGGGACAAAATGTATGTGAAATGGTTTGAGACAGTAATGTTTTACTATGTGATTTTAGTGAACGTCACTTTTTGTCATTTTCAAATTTCCCCCGTACGTCCCGACGCTCGCAGGGGACGGAACCCAGATGACAGATGCTGGCATCCGCTGGATTACATTGCCGGGGACACTGCAGGAGGGACATCGCGGGAGCGTAGGACAAGGTAAGTGATCAGGGGATCGCGGAGCAGCGCCGCATGGTAAGCCCGAGTGTAGCTCGGGGTTACCGCTTGTGGTACTGAAACTTTACCCCGAGCTACACTCGGGAATACCACCAGGGAGGCTACAAGGTGCCTCAAGACTGTCCATAATTTTAAAGGGTGCCTCAAGACTGTCCATAATTTTAAAGGGCACCTCGAGACTGTCCATAGTTTTACAGGAGGCCTCAAGATTGTCCATAGTTTTAAAAGGTGCCTCAAGACTGTCCAAAATTTTAAAGGGAGCCTCAAGACTGTCCATAGTTTTACAGGGGGCCAAAGATTGTCCATAGTTTTACAGGGGGCCTCAAGACTGTCCATAGTTTTACAGGGGGCCTCAAGACTGTCCATAGTTTTACCGTAGGCCTCAAGACTGTCCATAGTTTTAAAGGGTGCCTTGACTGAAAAAAGGTTGAGAAACGCTGCTGTATACTACTGATAAAAAAGATGGGTGTAAATACCTTTTTTTCGAACTGCTGTGGTCCAGTCACATGATGCAGAAGCTCTGGCTCCTGTGTGTCATGAAAAGGCTGCTGCAGGGGAGTGGAGGGAGCACTGACAATGGATGGGCAATGGAAAGCCAGTGGATGATGTTACAGCTCCCGAAAATCAGCCCCATTGTTGAGCACTCCCTGACACAAAGGAACCAAAGCTTCTGCATCACATCACCGTGTGGGATTGGATTGAAAAAAGGTATTTACACACATCTTTTTTTTATCATCAGAACACAGCATAGATAGGAGGAGGGGGAAGCAGGGGTTTTAGGAAAACTTATGTGTAGCCTTTACTTCCACTATAAATCCATTCTTTTTGTTCCTATTGCACTAAAGTTCTCCATGTACAGAGGATATTAAAAAGGCTAACCAACAGCTCATAATGGGCCAATTATCAACCCTATCATTAAATAAGCATTTTTAAATAATAGACTTGAGTATTAAGTTAAGAAGCAATTCCAGGCAACATATGAAAGCATTCGGTGAGCTAATAATGCAACCCAGAACACTGCAACTATACTGGAATTATAATATTCTTTTATATAAAGCACAGTTCATACTGGCCATCTCACAGGGTCAATAAGGCAGTAGGGGGGTGTAATTCCTAACGCCTCCACAGTTTAACATCTCACTATGCTTTCCACAAGGAGGAGAGTTTGAATCTTATTGGTGGCTATAAGTCCTGATATTTTTCTAACTTCTATATTTCTGTGTGTGAGAGAGGCAGCATGGAGAAGTTCCAGCATCACCAGAAGGCACATTCTAGGGTCATCGAATTACCAGCAAGAAAATTGGGTGGTCTGATGCAGTACAGTAATGTCTAGGTAATAAACGTAAGTATTAAAAAAGACCATCTGTGCTCCCTGTGTATTTCAAGACTTAATTTTCAGTTTTGACTGTAGGGTACAGTACCTTTAAAGTTATCTAGAAAGTACAGATGATATACTCTATATCTGTCAGAGCATTATAGAGGCAGACAGTATATTGGAAATCTGACCTAAGCAACCAAGAGTGGCATCCATAAGCTATACACTGCATTGAATTCTTTTGCTGGGTTTCAGATAATAGATCCCAGAGTGAGCGTAGACATGATCTTGTCCACCAGATAAAGAACAACATTTGTTGTTGTAAAACAAAAGAATCATGATGACATCAATAGATAAGACAACCTTTAAAAACAGGTCAGACTGTAAAGTAACTGTAGACTTTATTGCCTAAATCAGATCTAAAGTCTACATGTAACTGCGCACAATCCCACAGTGACCACTAGAGATGAGTGAAGTATTCAAAAATTTGATTCGACTGATTCGGCGAATTCGTGGAAAAATTTTGATTCGAGTCGAATATATTCGCTGTGAATTTAACTTAAAAAAGGGTGTTTCTAGGCTTCAGAGAGACTTAATATTAGTGCAGAACACTGTACCTTTAATTTAAATGCCCTTGGAGTCTGCTGGGGAAGAGAAATAATACTGTCAGTCAGTATGACATGCAGATGAGTGCCGTCGATCTTAGAATCACCGCACACTTCACTCATTTGGGCAGTCACGGGGCCAAAACCAGAGTGTGGAGCCACAGTGTGGCGGTGGAGGCAGCAGCAATGGGAGGCCATACAGCACCCTATGACAAAAATGGAAACCACCAGCAGTGTGAGGAGACCTGAAAGTGGCACATGGCAGAGTGTGGCGATAGAGACAGCAGCAATGGGAGGCCGTACAGGGACCCATGACACACTCTGGACCTGGCAGCAGCATGAGGAGGCGGTACAGGGGCCCATGACAGATTACGGGCCTGGCAGCAGCATGAGGAGTCGGTACGGGGGCCCATGGCAGATTACGGGCCTGGCAGCAGCAATGGGAGGCCGTACAGGGACCCATGACACACTCTGGACCTGGCAGCAGCATGGGGAGGCGGTACAGGGGCCATGACAGATTACGGGCCTGGCAGCAGCATGAGGAGTCGGTACGGGGGCCCATGACACACTCTGGACCTGGCAGCAGCATGAGGAGGCGGTACAGGGGCGCATGACAGATTACGAGCCTGGCAGCAGCAACTTGGACAGGAGGACGTTCAGCTTCTGCACCGTCGGGTGCGTGCTCGCAAACTGTTGTCTCTTGGAAACGGATTCCAAGAAAGACTGCTGACGGAATCCGTGAAGAGGAGTAGCAGGAGAAGGAGCATCTGAACGAGCGGAATATGCCAACAAGCGACAACAGGGGCCCATGACAGATTACGGGCCTGGCAGCAGCATGAGGAGTCGGTACGGGGGCCCATGGCAGATTAGGGGCCTGGCAGCAGCTATGGGAGGCCCGTAATCTGCCAGCACCCTATGTCAAAAAATTGAACACACCAGCAGTGTGTGAGGAGACCTGAAAGTGGCACATGGCAGAGTGTGGCAATGGAGACAGCAGCAATGGGAGGCCGTACAGGGACCCATGACAGACTCTGGACTTGGCAGCAGCATGAGGAGGCGGTATATAGGGGCCCATGGCAGATTAGGGGCCTGGCAGCAGCTATGGGAGGCCCGTAATCTGCCAGCACCCTATGTCAAAAAATTGAACACACCAGCAGTGTGTGAGGAGACCTGAAAGTGGCACATGGCAGAGTGTGGCGATGGAGACAGCAGCAATGGGAGGCCGTACAGGGACCCATGACAGATTACGGGCCTGGCAGCAGCATGAGGAGTCGGTACGGGGGCCCATGGCAGATTAGGGGCCTGGCAGCAGCTATGGAGGCCCGTAATCTGCCAGCACCCTATGTCAAAAAATTGAAACACACCAGCAGTGTGTGAGGAGACCTGAAAGTGGCACATGGCAGAGTGTGGCAATGGAGACAGCAGCAATGGGAGGCCGTACAGGGACCCATGACAGACTCTGGACTTGGCAGCAGCATGAGGAGGCGGTATATAGGGGCCCATGGCAGATTAGGGGCCTGGCAGCAGCTATGGGAGGCCCGTAATCTGCCAGCACCCTATGTCAAAAAATTGAACACACCAGCAGTGTGTGAGGAGACCTGAAAGTGGCACATGGCAGAGTGTGGCGATGGAGACAGCAGCAATGGGAGGCCGTACAGGGACCCATGACAGACTCTGGACTTGGCAGCAGCATGAGGAGGCGGTATATAGGGGCCCATGGCAGATTAGGGGCCTGGCAGCAGCTATGGGAGGCCCGTAATCTGCCAGCACCCTATGTCAAAAAATTGAACACACCAGCAGTGTGTGAGGAGACCTGAAAGTGGCACATGGCAGAGTGTGGCGATGGAGACAGCAGCAATGGGAGGCCGTACAGGGACCCATGACAGACTCTGGACTTGGCAGCAGCATGAGAGGCGGTATATAGGGGCCTATGGCAGATTAGGGGCCGGGCAGCAGCTATGGGAGGCCCGTAATCTGCCAGCACCCTATGTCAAAAAATTGAACACACCAGCAGTGTGTGAGGAGACCTGAAAGTGGCACATGGCAGAGTGTGGCGATGGAGACAGCAGCAATGGGAGGCCGTACAGGGACCCATGACAGACTCTGGACTTGGCAGCAGCATGAGGAGGCGGTATAAGGGCCCATGGCAGATTAGGGGCCTGGCAGCAGCTATGGGAGGCCCGTAATCTGCCAGCACCCTATGTCAAAAAATTCAACACACCAGCAGTGTGAGGAGACCTGAAAGTGGCACATGGCATGAGACACTGTGGACCTGGCAGCAGCATGAGGAGGCGGTACAGGGGGCCCATGGCAGATTAGGGGCCTGGCAGCAGCTATAGGAGGCCCGTAATCTGCCAGCACCCTATGTCAAAAAATTGAACACACCAGCAGTGTGTGAGCAGACCTGAAAGTGGCACATGGCAGAGTGTGGCGATGGAGACAGCAGCAATGGGAGGCCGTACAGGGACCCATGAGAGACTCTGGACTTGGCAGCAGCATGAGGAGGCGGTATATAGGGGCCCATGGCAGATTAGGGGCCTGGCAGCAGCTATGGGAGGCCCGTAATCTGCCAGCACCCTATGTCAAAAAATTCAACACACCAGCAGTGTGAGGAGACCTGAAAGTGGCACATGGCAGAGTGTGGCGATGGAGACAGCAGCAATGGGAGGCCGTACAGGGACCCATGACAGACTCTGGACTTGGCAGCAGCATGAGGAGGCGGTATATAGGGGCCTATGGCAGATTAGGGGCCTGGCAGCAGCTATAGGAGGCCCGTAAGCTGCCAGCACCCTATGTCAAAAAATTGAACACACCAGCAGTGTGTGAGGAGACCTGAAAGTGGCACATGGCAGAGTGTGGCGATGGAGACAGCAGCAATGGGAGGCCGTACAGGGACCCATGACAGACTCTGGACTTGGCAGCAGCATGAGGAGGCGGTATATAGGGGCCTATGGCAGATTAGGGGCCTGGCAGCAGCTATAGGAGGCCCGTAATCTGCCAGCACCCTATGTCAAAAAATTGAACACACCAGCAGTGTGAGGAGACCTGAAAGTGGCACATGGCAGAGTGTGGCGATGGAGACAGCAGCAATGGGAGGCCGTACAGGGGCGCATGAGAGACTCTGGACTTGGCAGCAGCATGAGGAGGAGGCAGTATAGGGGCCCATGGCAGATTAGGGGCCTGGCAGCAGCTATGGGAGGCCCGTAATCTGCCAGCACCCTATGTCAAAAAATTCAACACACCAGCAGTGTGTGAGGAGACCTGAAAGTGGCACATGGCAGAGTGTGGCGATGGAGACAGCAGCAATGGGAGGCCGTACAGGGACCCATGAGAGACTCTGGACTTGGCAGCAGCATGAGGAGGCGGTATAGGGGCCCATGGCAGATTAGGGGCCTGGCAGCAGCTATGGGAGGCCCCGTAATCTGCCAGCACCCTATGTCAAAAAATTGAACACACCAGCAGTGTGAGGAGACCTGAAAGTGGCACATGGCAGAGTGTGGCGATGGAGACAGCAGCAATGGGAGGCCGTACAGGGACCCATGACAGACTCTGGACCTGGCAGCAGCATGAGGAGGCGGTATATAGGGGCCCATGGCAGATTAGGGGCCTGGCAGCAGCTATGGGAGGCCCGTAATCTGCCAGCACCCTATGTCAAAAAATTCAACACACCAGCAGTGTGAGGAGACCTGAAAGTGGCACATGGCAGAGTGTGGCGATGGAGACAGCAGCAATGGGAGGCCGTACAGGGACCCATGACAGACTCTGGACTTGGCAGCAGCATGAGGAGGCGGTATATAGGGGCCTATGGCAGATTAGGGGCCTGGCAGCAGCTATGGGAGGCCCGTAATCTGCCAGCACCCTATGTCAAAAAATTGAACACACCAGCAGTGTGTGAGGAGACCTGAAAGTGCACACATGGCAGAGTGTGGCGATGGAGACAGCAGCAATGGGAGGCCGTACAGGGACCCATGACAGACTCTGGACTTGGCAGCAGCATGAGGAGGCGGTATATAGGGGCCTATGGCAGATTAGGGGCCTGGCAGCAGCTATAGGAGGCCCGTAATCTGCCAGCACCCTATGTCAAAAAATTGAACACACCAGCAGTGTGTGAGGAGACCTGAAAGTGGCACATGGCAGAGTGTGGCGATGGAGACAGCAGCAATGGGAGGCCGTACAGGGACCCATGAGAGACTCTGGACTTGGCAGCAGCATGAGGAGGCGGTATAGGGGCCCATGGCAGATTAGGGGCCTGGCAGCAGCTATGGGAGGCCCGTAATCTGCCAGCACCCTATGTCAAAAAATTGAACACACCAGCAGTGTGTGAGGAGACCTGAAAGTGGCACATGGCAGAGTGTGGCGATGGAGACAGCAGCAATGGGAGGCCGTACAGGGACCCATGACAGACTCTGACTGGGCAGCAGCATGAGGAGGCGGTATATAGGGGCCCATGGCAGATTAGGGGCCTGGCAGCAGCTATGGGAGGCCCGTAATCTGCCAGCACCCTATGTCAAAAAATTGAACACACCAGCAGTGTGTGAGGAGACCTGAAAGTGGCACATGGCAGAGTGTGGCGATGGAGACAACCCACCGACTGTTTTGCTCGCTGCCAAGCTGCCACCCTCTCTTCTCCTGATGATGCGGAAGCAATAGCCTGATGACGACGAGGCTGCCAAGTGCGATCAGCCTCATCATCATCAATTAGGGTCTCCGCCTCACTACTAGCCCCCTCGGCTGCGTGTGGGTCAGGAGACAGACCTGTCTCTACACCGGCTACCGAGCCACTCTCCTCGCCACTACTTCTTCGCCTGGCTGCTGAAGAGGCGGATGTCTCCCCCGTTCCTGACCGCCCTCTGTTAGCTCTTCCTCACTGTACTGGATGACACCGGGAGCACTAGCCTCTGGCTGCGAATAGTGCTGCTGCCTCGACCCCTTCCTCTGCTGCCACGTCTGCTCGCTCCTAAAACATTGCCTCCTCTGCCACTCCTCTGCATGTTGTCTGACATACTCTTTAATTAAACGATTCTGTGTCCCTGAGTAACAATTCTGTGTCCCTGAGTAACGTTTCTGTGGCCCTAAGTAACAGTTCTGTGGCCCTAAGTAACAGTTCTGTGGCCCTCAGTAACAATTCTGTGTCTGTCCCTGAGTAACAATTCTGTGTCCCTCAGTAACAATTCTGTGTCCCTCAGTAACAATTCTGTGTCCCTCAGTAACAATTCTGTGTCCCTGAGTAACAATTCTGTGGCCCTCAGTAACAATTCTGTGTCCCTGAGTAACAATTCTGTGTCCCCCGAGTAACAATTCTGTGTCTGTCCCTGAGTAAGAATTCTGTGTCTGTCCCTGAGTAACGTTTCTGTGGCCCTAAGTAAAGGTTCTGTGGCCCTCAGTAACAATTCTGTGTCCCTGAGTAACAATTCTGTGTCTTCCCTGAGTAACAATTCTGTGGCCCTAAGTAACGGTTCTGTGGCCCTCAGTAACAATTCTGTGTCCCTGAATAACAATTCTGTGTCCCTCAGTAACAATTCTGTGTCCCTCAGTAACAATTCTGTGTCTGTCCCTGAGTAACAATTCTGTTTCTGTCCCTGAGTAACGTTTCTGTGGCCCTAAGTAACGGTTCTGTGGCCCTCAGTAACAATTCTGTGGCCCTCAGTAACAATTCTGTGTCCCTGAGTAACCCTGAGTAACAATTCTGTGTCCCTGAGTAACGTTTCTGTGGCCCTAAGTAACAATTCTGTGGCCCTCAGTAACAATTCTGTGTCTGTCCCTGAGTAACAATTCTGTGTCTGTCCCTGAGTAACAATTCTGTGTCCCTGAGTAACGTTTCTGTGGCCCTAAGTAACAATTCTGTGGCCCTCAGTAACAATTCTGTGTCTGTCCCTGAGTAACAATTCTGTGGCCCTAAGTAACGGTTCTGTGGCCCTCACAATTCTGTGTCCCTAACAATTCTGTGTCCCTCAGTAACAATTCTGTGGCCCTCAGTAACAATTCTGTGTCTGTCCCTGAGTAACAATTCTGTGTCCAGTAACAATTCTGTGGCCCCAGTAACAATTCTGTGGCCCTCAGTAACAATTCTGTGTCCCTGAGTAACGTTTCTGTGGCCCTAAGTAACAATTCTGTGGCCCTCAGTAACAATTCTGTGTCCCTGAGTAACGTTTCTGTGGCCCTAAGTAACAATTCTGTGGCCCTCAGTAACAATTCTGTGTCTGTCCCTGAGTAACAATTCTGTGTCTGTCCCTGAGTAACAATTCTGTGTCCCTGAGTAACGTTTCTGTGGCCCTAAGTAACAATTCTGTGGCCCTCAGTAACAATTCTGTGTCCCTGAGTAACAATTCTGTGGCCCTAAGTAACGGTTCTGTGGCCCTCAGTAACAATTCTGTGGCCCTCAGTAACAATTCTGTGTCTGTCCCTGAGTAACAATTCTGTGGCCCTAAGTAACGGTTCTGTGGCCCTCAGTAACAATTCTGTGTCCCTGAGTAACAATTCTGTGGCCCTAAGTAACGGTTCTGTGGCCCTCAGTAACAATTCTGTGTCCCTGAGTAACAATTATGTGGCCCTAAGTAACAGTTCTGTGTCCCTCAGTAACAATTCTGTGTCCCCTCAGTAACAATTCTGTTTCTGTCCCTGAGTAACAATTCTGTGGCCCTAACTAACGTTTCTGTGGCCCTAAGTAACAGTTCTGTGGCCCTCAGTAACAATTCTGTGTCCCTGAAGTAACGTTTCTGTGGCCCTAAGTAACGGTTCTGTGTAACAATTCTGTGCCCTCAGTAACAATTCTGTGTCCCTGATTAACGTTTCTGTGGCCCTAAGTAACGGTTCTGTGGCCCTCAGTAACAATTCTGTGTCCCTCAGTAACAATTCTGTGTCTGTCCCTGAGTAACAATTCTGTGGCCCTAAGTAACGGTTCTGTGGCCCTCAGTAACAATTCTGTGTCCCTGAGTAACGTTTCTGTGGCCCTAAGTAACGGTTCTGTGGCCCTCAGTAACAATTCTGTGTCCCTGAGTAACAATTCTGTGTCTGTCCCTGAGTAACAATTCTGTGGCCCTAAGTAACGGTTCTGTGGCCCTCAGTAACAATTCTGTGTCCCTGAGTAACGTTTCTGTGGCCCTAAGTAACAATTCTGTGGCCCTCAGTAACAATTCTGTGTCTGTCCCTGAGTAACAATTCTGTGTCCCTAAGTAACGTTTCTGTGGCCCTAAGTAACAGTTCTGTGGCCCTCAGTAACAATTCTGTGTCTGTCCCTGAGTAACAATTCTGTGGCCCTAAGTAACGTTTCTGTGGCCCTAAGTAACAATTCTGTGTCCCTGAGTAACAATTCTGTGCCCCTAAGTAATGTGGCCCTAAGTTCTGTGGCCCTCAGTAACAATTCTGTGTCCCTGAGTAACAATTCTGTGGCCCTAAGTAACGGTTCTGTGGCCCTCAGTAACAATTCTGTGGCCCTCAGTAACAATTCTGTGTCTGTCCTGAGTAACAATTCT